CAAGGGGTGTTTGAGTGCAGGTACACTGCTGGCTCCCACAGGAGCTGGGAATGTCTCGTGCATTTAGGGTAATACTGATGGTGGGTTTGAGGGTGCTGAGGCGCTGGCACAGGGTGCCCAGAGAAGCTGTGGCTGCCCCATCCCTGGCAGTGCTCAAGGGCAGGTTGGACACAGGGGCCCTCTGTAGCCCCGGAGCGCCCGGTGCTGACCGAGCACTGTGCCCTGCAGGTGCCCCGGCCGCTGCCGGAGGATGCCGCGGAGAGCAGCCCCTGCCCGGAGCCGCTGCTGGGCCCTGTCCTGCGCTTCCTGCGCCGCCACCGCCGCAGCCTGCCCATGTACTACCCGGCCAGGGCCCCGCCGAGCGCAGGTGAGGCGGCAGCCACCGGCCCGGCGGGCGCCGACTCCTCGGCCCCGTGACGGCCGCGGCCCCGACGGGGAGGACGGGACCCTCGGTGCGAGCCCGGACAGGGGGTACCTCGGTGCGAGCTCTGGGGCAGGGGATGTCTCGGTGTGGGCTCTGGGCAGGGGATTTCTCGGTGCGAGCTCTGGGCAGGGTTTCTCGATGTGGGCTCTGGGGTCTCGAACCGGGGCCGCCGGGGCTGGGGGTTGCAGGGTCGGCGGTGTCGGTGCGAGCCCCGCGGGGGGGCGGCGCGTGCCCGGCGGCCCGCAGCTGTATGCTAATGGCGCGCGCCCCGCCCCCCGCCCGCCTGTCCCACCGCGGGGGGGGGGGCGGCCACACACACCCCGCACCCCCCCGCGGCCCCGGGCGCTGCCGGGGCGCCCCCCCCCCGCCCCTTTGTGCGCCCGCCGGGCGGCTCGCGCAGCTTTATGCTAATGAGGCGCACAAAGGCGGCGCGCGGGGCCCGCGGGGGGGCTGGGGCCGCTCACTCGCGTGCCGCCCGCGTGCCCCTCACAAAGGGGGGGGGTGCCCGCACGCGCCCCCGGGGCCGGCCGGCTGCGCGCGGCAGGGGGCGCTCACCCCCCCCCGGGCTCCCCGCCGCGGCGCCACCTGCGAGCGCGCAGCCGAGAGCCCCCCCCGCCGACAAAGGGTTAAAGCGGGGCTGCACCTGCCGCGGGGACCGCACCGGCAGCGGGACCGGCACCCGGCACCGAGCGCTGCCCTCCTCAGTGCCGCGGCTGCCGTGCGCGGGCGGTGTCGGTGTGCTCGCTGTGCGGCCCCTCCGCTGCCGTTACAGGTGCCCGGGGCTGCGGCTCCGCGGGTCCGTTCCGCACACAGCGGCGGGGCAGGGGCAGGGGCAGGGCCGGGCCCAGTCTCAGCGCTCCCGCGCGCGCCACCTGATGCCGGCACCGGGCTCCCCGCCCCCCCCGTCCCGCCCCGCTCGCACCGGGCTCACGGCGGGGGGGGGGAGCGCAGCGCGCGCCCCGGGGCCGCACACAAAGGCCCGCGCGTGCCGCCCCGCGCGGCAGCGGGCGCCGGAGCGTGCGGGGGGCGGGGCCGGGCGCGTGCCGCCGGCGGGGGCTCAGGTGCACGCGGCCCCGCCCCCCGCCCGCCGCGGCGCCGCTGATTGGCCCGCGCCGCCGCCGCCGGCCCGAACAATGGCCCCGGCCCCGCTTAAAGGCGGCGCGGCCGCGGCCGGGCTCCGCGAGCGGCGGGGCCGGTGCCGGGTGGGTGCCGGGGCCAGGGCCGGGGCCGCCGCGCGGGCGGCGCCAAGATGCCGCGGGGCTTCCTGGTGAAGCGCAGCCGGCGGCCCGCCCCCGCCTCGTACCGCGCGCGCTGCTGCCGCGACCCCGCCGGGGCGCCGCTGCCCCCGGGCAGCCCCGCGCCGCCGCCGCCCGCCCGCCCCGCCGCGCCGCCGGGGAACACGGTGCCGTGCGGGACGCCCGATGCCGCCGTGCAGGCGCTGTACAGCCCCACGCGGCCCGTCAGCAGGGACAAGTACCTGGAGCGCGGCTTCAGCCTGGGCTCGCCCGTCTCGGCCGAGTCCTTCCCGGCGCCGGCCGTGCCCGCCACCATGGACCCGCTCCTCTTCGCGCCGGCCGAGCTCAAGCTCTGGGCCGCTGCCGCCGGCCCCGCAGAGCCGCCCGCCGCGGGGCCCGGCCCCGGTGGAGCCCCTGCACCGCCCGCCCCGGCCGCGCCGCCCGCCGCCGCCGCCCGTCCGCAGCCCGCCAAGCGGCCGCCGAGCACCGCGGAGCCCGGGCGGCAGAAGGCCCCGTCGGGCAAGAAGGCGAAGGCGATCCGCAAGCTGACCTTCGAGGACGAGGTGACCACGTCGCCCGTGCTGGGGCTGCGCATCAAGGAGGGCCCGGTGGAGGCGCCGGCCAGGGCGCGGGGCGGCTGCGCCCGCCCGCTGGGCGAGTTCATCTGCCAGCTCTGCAAGGAGGAGTACGGGGACCCGTTCGCGCTGGCGCAGCACCGCTGCTCCCGCATCGTGCGGGTGGAGTACCGCTGCCCCGAGTGCGACAAGGTCTTCTCCTGCCCCGCCAACCTTGCCTCGCACCGCCGCTGGCACAAGCCGCGCCCGCCCGCCGCCAAGAGCGGCCCCGAGCCGGGCCGAGCGCCGCCGGAGGAGCCGCCGAAGGAGGCGGGAGCGGGCAGCGGCAGCGAGCGGGACACGCCGAGCCCCGGCGGCGGCTCGGAAGCGGGCTCCGAGGAGGGGCTCTTCGAGTGCCCCCGCTGCGCCAAGCGGTTCCGCCGGCAGGCCTACCTGCGCAAGCATCTGCTGGGCCACCAGCCGCCGGCACCCGCGCCGGGAGCCGCACCGGGCCCCGAGCCCGCAGCCGAGGAGCCGCCCGCGCCGCCGCCCGCCGAGTGCCGCCTGTGCCCGGTGTGCGGGGAGACCTTCCCCAGCAAGAGCAGCCAGGAGCGGCACCTCCGCCTGCTGCACGCCGCGCAGGTCTTCCCCTGCAAGTACTGCCCGGCCACCTTCTACAGCTCGCCCGGCCTCACCCGGCACATCAACAAGTGCCACCCCTCGGAGAACAGGCAGGTCATCCTGCTCCAGGTGCCGCTGCGGCCCGCCTGCTAGAGCCGCCCGTGCCTTCCCGCACCGCCCCGCCCCGCACGGCCCGGGGCCGACACACGATTAGCTTTAACCCGGCTGGTGAACCGCTGGAGCCCGGCTTCGCGCCCGCCGCCGGGTCCCTCCCTCCGTCCGGCCGCTGGTTCGCCTCGGCGCCCGTCGGGGGACCCCGGACCCGCCGGAGGAGCCGCCCGAGGGTTCCCGTTCCCGCAGCCGCCGATGCCTTGACGCCGCTGTTGATGGTCTCCAGAAGATGCTGTAGAAACTGCCTTAACTGTGACATGCCAACCTTCTGTTTCCGTTCGGTTTGCCCTTCCCGAGGTAGCTCACGAGTTGACTATCTGTATATGTTGGTTTGAGTAATTATGTTATTTATTCGTTATTTATTTATATTAATTATGAAGATTGATATTATTTGATCGCAGATGCTCTGACGCTGGTTTTGTCCCCGCCTGCCATTTCACTGTGCGTTTTAGAAGAGTTTGTTTGTTTTTTTCCTCAAGGGATCTGCTGTAAAGGTTTTAACTTTTATACCTAGAACACACACGACCTTGGCCATTCGATCCTGTGCAACCGACAGCTCTTACTTTTAGATGCAATCTCTTTTTCTACACACATTATTTTCTTAACTGTTAGCTATTTATAGAGTGCTTCAATAGAACTGTTTCAACTGTATAATTATTTACTATTCAAATAAAATATTTTCCAATGCAGGCGTGCTGCTGTGGCCGGGGCTGGGGCTGGGGCTGTGCTGCACCTCGGGTGGGACTGGGGGAGCTAGGGGATGCCTGGTGCTGGGTGCATGGGGAGGTTGTAGTGTCCTCAGTGTTGCCAGCCTGGTGCGCCAGGGCTGCCCCCGGGACCGGGCTCACACCGACGGGTGAAGAACCTCCGACGGCAGGGGCAGGACAAGGTGCACAGCGCCCGGGTCACCCTGCGGGGGGAGAGGTGACCGTGTCACACAGCGGGGACAGGGCGAGCCTGGGGGTGCTTTGAGGAGCATCCGTTTGTCCGGAGCTGTACAAACCGCTCTGCAAACAGGGCCCGAGGGCTCGCTCTGTGCAGGGGACTCCCCACGTTTGGCCAAAAGGGAGTTTCTTCATTATTTTATCAGCATGTTCTCATCTCGGGTGTGTGCGGGGCCCGTGCGAGCCCTGCAGTGCTGAGTGCTGGGCGCTCCCCTCGCAGCAGGAGCCAGCCTCCCCTCACCGCTCTGCCCGGGGGCCCGGGGCGAGACCCTGCCCCATCCCCGTGCGAGGAGGGCCGAGGGGCACCGAGCGGGCGGTTCTGGCACACGCGGAAGGATGGAAACGCCTCTGAGGCTTTTACGCACTGGGGGAGGTTTGGAACCTGTTGCTGCCACGTTCGCTCTCGTCTGTTCCCTCGGAAAAGGCAGGGGACCGCCGGGAGCTGTTCCTGGAAGCTGCCCGAGAAGCCCCGGGGTGGTTTTGATAAAGCAGCGCTTCTAGAGAACGAAAATCTTCCTAAAGATGTTTATAACCTTCTTGCTCAGTAGGGCTGAAACCCACCAGGGCAGCGTGCTCCTGCTGCTGGATTCCCGGGACACAGCTCCCGTGTCCCGGAGCCGGCTGCAGGCTGAGCTGTAAATGGGTGACAGTGAGACAGAGAACGCAGCCTGAGAGGTGCGGGCAGCAGCCCCTCAGCGGGCTGCAAGTGCAGGGCTGCTCCTCCTGCTTCCCTGGCGCTGGGCTGTCACAGCCGGTGTGCCACAGCGCGCACCAGGCTGCTCTCACCACTGGGGCAGGCAGGAGCTCCTGAGGGGCTCCCAGTGCTCTCCAGCAGACTGCAGCCACGGTTCCCCGAGTGATGCCCGGCGCACCTATCGGGGTGCCCCAGAGGCTCCACCCCACTGGGTGCTCCCAGCCTGTACCCTGGCAAAGCCCAACCGACAGCTCCACACTGGCGGATTCCTCCACGCTCAGGTAAATCCCTGCCTGTCTCGGCAGGGGCCGGGTAAAGCCGGTCAGGATCAGCGTCATCCCCGGGTCCGTAGGGACCATGGGGGTGGCCACTGCCCCCCGCGTTCCCGCGTCCTCCCGTGGGAGCGTGAGCGGTGGAGGCTGCTCGTGTGGGGCGGAGTGAGGAGCGGTGACACCGGAGCGCGTTGGAAACGGGGCTCCTGCAAAACGGGGGAACCGCTTTGGTGTCCTGGGGCTGCACCCGCGGGGCCGGGAGGTCCGAGCGCCTGCGGGTGTCTGAGGGATGTTACGGGAGCGACCGGCAGCACCGCTGCGTGTCCCCTGGGGCGAAGGGCAGCGTACGGGGGCTGCTGGCCCACGGGGCCGGCGGGCACATGGGCAGCGTCCAGCTGTGTGCAGTCAGCAGGAGCCCCCCTCCTCTCCGGCCGCACAGGGATGTGCACACACACGGGCCCGGACGGCTCTTTGCAACCTGAAAGGGACCAGGAGGTGCGTTCCAGGAGCTACAGGGCCCTGACCGGGGACAGCCTGGCCTCGCCGGGCACCTTCTGGTGGCCTAGGAATGGGCAGGGACGGGGCTTTGGCTTTGCCTTTCAGAGCTCTTCCCCACGCAGACCCGCGTAATGAGCTGGCAGGAGGGAAAACAGCTCATGGAGCCGAGGGTTGGCCCTCCCCAGCAGGGCACACAGTGCCATGGGATGGTGTGGGGCACCGTGGGGTGCGAGTCCCAGCCTGTCACATCACCCTCTTGTGAGGGTGCTGGGTTCCGGGGGGTGTTTTGGGCCCACGTTGCTGCTGCAGCGAGTCCCTCGAGCCCCCAGCATCTCCCATGGGTGATGGAGCAGGGTGGCTGGGTCCTGTGTTCTGCACATCTCATTCCAAGGTCTGGAATCCTCCCATGCAGATAAAAAGCCTCATTATGGCTTTAAACGGTTTTAATTCAATGTAGTTTACAGCCCATAGCAGAGCTCTGCCCCATGGAACCAGCTGATGTGTTCACCAGAGCGCCCAGTGACTGCGGTACCGGTGACGCCACAGCTTTCCCGAGGGGACCCGCCTGGAACAGCTCAAGAGCACCCAGGCAAGCCCCAGGCAGGCACCGCGTGGGACACGGCGCTGGATCCACTCCCTGCGGGTGCGCACGGGAAGGACAGACTTGGCTGTGGGTAATAAATGACAACCCTAAATAAACAGAGAGCCTGTGATCCTTGGATCTCCGTGTATGCTCTATCGATTATCTCTGCATTTAGCAGTATGTAGTTACGTGTGTGATGCATTACCCATAATACATCTGCATAACATAGAATAATATAAATATGCATACACAATGCACATTATAAATTATTGCTTACTGTATAAGGCATATTCTAACACACCATACACAGTATGTAATACTACAGGTGCATTATATGTATTGTTATAGGTACTTGATCCAATGCTCATGTGAGCAAACAATACTGTCTTATGGGGGATTTTAGTACCATTGCACAGGGCGCGTTGTGTACGTGCATGTGTACATACATACATGCACAGGTCTGTGTGTAAGTGCAGGTGTAACATACCTATTAGACATATATGTTATGCGTGAGCCAGAACTGGTAGTTATGGACTGTGTCTTCTGTGATGGGCATTAGACAGGCATTACACTTGATGTGGTAGCAGGGGTTATATATTCACTGTATAATTCAGGCATTGCTGAGATGATTTATAGAACTACAGTTTTCTGATGTACCTCGAGTATATACTAGGTATGTGTTCAGATACACATGTACATATCTCATGTATATGTAATATAGAGTATAGATGTAATCTATAATCCATATTTTGGTAAAATTAGTAAATATATAGTGACTATTAATAGCAATATAATGTATTAATAATATGTAACGGAGCATGTAGTGCATAGTGTGTACTCTATATTATAGAATAATGTATATATTTCATTATATGCATTATATGATGCTCTTCCTAATGCATCGATTGTAGAGTATATATTATGCTGATTATATAAGCATTATATCCATGTATATTTAATACCTGTAATATATACTATGCCTGATATACATATATAGATATATTAACTGTTAGACACTAATTAAATATACTATAGCATATAATTGTAGCATGATATGTGTAATTATTATGTTTATTTAATGATACAATATGGATCCTATTAATAGATAATAGCAATAATTCATACGAAAGGTTAAGCAGCCTGTGCATGAGTATAAATTCATTTGTTTTTATAATTATTTTTACTGTTGTTTTGGTTTATTGTGCTATTTTATTCCCGTTATTTGTCTGTCTGCGCCTGTCCGAGGTCCTGCGGGTGCCCGGTCCCGCTGCTGCTGCTGCTGCTGCTGCTGCTGCTGCTGCTGCTGCTGCTGCTGCTGCTGCTACTGCTGCTGCTGCTGCTGCTGCTGCTGCTACTGCTACTGCTGCTGCTGCTACTGCTGCTGCTGCTGCTTCTGCTCCTGCTGCTACTGCTGCTGCTGCTGCTGCTACTGCTGCTGCTGCTACTGCTGCTACTGCTGCTGCTGCTACTGCTGCTACTGCTACTGCTGCTGCTGCTGCTGCTGCTGCTGCTACTGCTGCTGCTGCTACTGCTGCTGCTGCTGCTACTGCTGCTGCTGCTGCTGCTGCTGCTGCTGCTGCTACTGCTGCTGCTGCTGCTGCTGCTGCTGCTGCTGCTGCTACTGCTGCTGCTGCTGCTGCTGCTGCTACTGCTGCTGCTGCTGCTACTGCTGCTGCTGCTGCTGCTGCTGCTGCTGCTGCTACTGCTGCTACTGCTGCTGCTGCTACTGCTGCTACTGCTACTGCTGCTGCTGCTGCTGCTGCTGCTGCTACTGCTGCTGCTGCTACTGCTGCTGCTGCTGCTACTGCTGCTGCTGCTGCTGCTACTGCTGCTGCTGCTACTGCTACTGCTGCTGCTGCTGCTGCTACTGCTGCTGCTGCTGCTGCTGCTGCTGCTGCTGCTGCTGCTGCTACTGCTACTGCTGCTGCTGCTGCTGCTGCTGCTGCTGCTACTGCTACTGCTGCTGCTGCTGCTGCTACTGCTGCTGCTGCTGCTGCTACTGCTGCTGCTGCTACTGCTGCTGCTGCTACTGCTGCTGCTGCTACTGCTGCTGCTGCTGCTGCTGCTGCTGCTGCTGCTGCTGCTGCTGCTGGGGGGGTCTGAGGCTCCGTGCGTTCCTCCCCCGGCCCCAGCCGGCTCCTGCCGCCCCCGCCGCGTGCTGCGGGATGGGCTCAGGGATCCCGAGTGAGGCCATCCCGGGGCCGCCGGCTGCGGGGGATCGGGTCCGGGTGTTTCTGCGGGTGGGGTTTATCCGGAGCCGTTTGGATCCGTTCCCCACCGTGCCCAAAGCAGCTGCAGGGGCGCCTTTGCCGCCCCTCTCCAGCGCAGGAATGGACGTTTCCGAGTGCCTTCTCCCACTGCCCGACAACCCCCTTGCATTCCCGCTGGCACGAGCGGGTGGTGGCACGTAACCCCCCGGCACAGAGCAGAGACCCCCTTTCCTTCCTCGAGGGACGTTCCCATAGAGTAGAAAACCACACGAGAACTGTGCTGGGTCCGATGTTCACGCAGGTTGCTCCGCAGTGAGGCTTCGCACATGCCAAGGGAAGCCTCCTCACTGCGCATTCCGTGATGAACGGGACATAAATCATGTCTGGGGGGGGGGTGTGTAATGGGCTGTAATTAGCAAATTAACCCATTGCAGGGTCTGCTCGCGGGGTCAGCACCGGGAGCTGCAGCAGGATGGAGGCCGATGGGCCGGTGCTTTGGAGGTACTGACCCCACACACGTGTGCTCCTGTGCCCGTGTGATGCAAGGCAGCGTGCAGCAGCCAAGGACCCATCGTGGGGAGGGGGTGCGACCAAAGACACCCCAGGTAAAAGGGATGGGCTGAGGGAGGGGAGCCGGGTGCTGCTGCCGCAGGGCGCGCTCTGTGTGTGTGGCTGAGCTCGAAGGCTGCATCTCAAGAACCCTTCGTGTGTCTCTCTCAGGTGGCCCATCCTTCTGGACAGTGAAGGAAGCACCAAGCCTTTCACACGAGCACAGCTCTGCACTGACTTTCTGTGGAAGAGGAGGTGAAAATCCTCCTCCCTTGCTCTGATGCTGCTCCTGGGAAACCACAAGCCCCTTGCCGGGTCCAGCCCAACACCCATGTTATCTTCCCCACTGAGCCTACGGCTGGGGGCAGCGTGTCCAGTGTGTCCAGTGCCCAGCACGTCCCATGTCCCCCCAGTCCCACCCCAAGGAAGGGGCTGCTGATGGCCCCGGCACAGGCACAGACCCTCCCTGTTCATGCGAGGCTGCTGTGAGCACGAGTTTATTGGGGTGTGAGGGAACCAGGTCAGTACAAAACCACAGCCAAACTTTACAAATTAACAGGTTTCTGGTTTTGACATCAGGAAAATACCATTTTATTTCCATCAGTGTTTCAGTTCTTCCCTGAATTAGAGATGGGTATTGCTAAGTGAGGCAAGTCCCCTGCTCAGGAGACCTTTGAAAGTGATTTCAGACCATGTACTGGGTAACTGGGAGCGAGCCAGCCCTGAAAACAGCACAGTTAAACACTGCTGTCCGTTACTGACACACCATCAGTGGAACCCAGGCTGGGAGGCAGCAACAGCAATCGGGCAGACCCTGAGTTTCTGCTGGGTTTGTTTCATCTTTACACCACCAGGTTCTAGCTCTGAGGCGTCGGCACCCCTGAACCCCCGAGCCTGAAATGCAGCTCCCGTTGGAAGCACAGTGCCAGGGCCACGGAGTGCCGGGAGGACTCTGCCCACACAGCACCTGCAGATCCCCTTGTTCCAAGCAGTGAGAACGCAGGGGGCAGAGCGGGGCCCAGCTGCGGTGCCTGGGGGTGGTCCCCCAGGAGGTCGCTGCTGTGAGCTGTGGCCTTTGCTCTTCAAAGGGAACTGGGTTGTGTCTGTTCCTCTGGTTCCAGCCGCCATCGCAGCCAATGGTGCTGCAGCTGAGGAGTCGCTGCTGTCCACAGTGGCAGCCCCGCAGCTCAGAGGCTACCACCAGTGGGGCAGCAGCGCTGGAGGGTGCCCAGGACACTGCCACCAGGGACCAGACAGCACCCATGGGAGATGGGCACCAAGAACAGGAGCTGCTGCTCCACTGGCACGATGGGCTGGGGCGGCTGCACACACAAGGCACTGACACGTGTGACCCTGCACAAGATACCACAATAAAACTGGAGCTAATGGAGGTGCTGCCACTGTGTAAGGCTGGCGGCACCCTCCTGTCTCTCTGGGAAATCACTGTGATGATGGTTACTAATTCCCAGCTACAGGCACAGAACTGGTGCTGGATGAGCAGACAACAGTTGGGGAGCAGAGGTGGAACATGGGCTGGGCAGCATCCCCGTCCTCCATTCGCTGTCATGGGAACGGTGGTGGTTGTTGGGTGGCCACGCATGTGAAAACCCCATCTGGGGGGACAATGCCCTGGCACAGGACCAGGTGCTGGCTGGGATGACCAACACAACGCTCTAAAGCTATGCTAAGTAACAGGTATCAGTGCTGGTTCGTGTCCTCTGGCTGTGACACTAGCTCTTGTGCACTGGTGCTGGGGAGGAGGCGTGCTGCTGTGGGGCTGGTGCTGCTCCAGTGGTGGGAGCAGCCGGTACCTTCCTCTGCTCTGCGGTGGAAGCGATGGAGCAGGACACGGTCGTGACGGAGGCGCCGTCCGGTCACGGGCAGCGTCTGCAGACACCGGAGCTGCGGGGCCGGGGAGCGGAGCCCGTCCGAGGAGCAGGAGCTCAGGGGTCCGTGTGCAGGTCCCGGAGCCCCGCGGCGAGGGCGAGCGCCGCGCAGCCCCCCCCAGGGACACCTCGAGGTCGGCGCTGGCGCTGGTGCTGAGGCAGCCTGGAACAGAGGAGAGCAGAGAGCGCCGTGAGGGGAGGCACAGAGCGGCTGCAGAGGCAGCGCCTCCCCCCCCTCCCAAGCAGCCCTGGGGAGAGCCGGGCAGGTGTGAACAGAGGCTGGGCTGGGGCAGCCTGGAGGGGAGAAGGCTCCTGAAGGGGAGACCTGAGAGCAGCTCCAGTGCCTAAAGGGGCTGCAGGAAAGCTGGAGAGGGGCTTGGGACAAGGGCCTGTAGGGACAGGCCAAGGGGAATGGCTTGAACCTGCCCGAGGGGAGACTGAGCTGAGCTCTTAGGCAGAAGCTCTTCCCTGTGAGGGTGCTGAGGCGCTGGCACAGGGTGCCCAGAGAAGCTGTGGCTGCCCCATCCCTGGCAGTGCTCAAGGCCAGGTTGGACACAGGGGCTTGGAGCAAGCTGCTCCAGTGGAAGGGGTCCCTGCCCGTGGCAGGGGTTGGAGCTGGAGGAGCTTGAAGGTCCCTTCAACCCAACCCAGGCTGGGGTTCTGTGATTCTATGGAGTTGGACCCAGGCAGCTGAGGACACTTCCCAGCTTTCCTGGAGAAATGAGGAATTTCCCTTTCTCAGCTTGCAGAAGCAGGGCTCCTGCAACCATCCCCCAGCAGTGTTCCCCCTCAGTCCTGGTGCCCCGGTTGGTGCAGCCCCTGCACTGGTGGTGCCGCCTCGGGGAGCGGGAGCATCCACCCTGTCCACTCACAGCTCCCACCCAACAGCTCCAAAATCGCTTCTTTCAAGCATGTGCTGTAAAAAACTCGTCTGCTGTGTCTCTGACTGCTCTCCTGTATTTGATCTCCTGCAGGGAGCTGGAAATGAGTCTCCACAGTGTGACTGCTCTATGGGACCCTGCCCAGGAGGCATCTTGGCCCCTGATAAAAATCCCAAAGAATCCCAATCTTTTCTGATTAGTTCCACTTCTTGAACAGGACCCATCGCACCAGTGACCTGCCCCCCCCGTGCAGGACCGTGACGTGTGGGCTGGGACGGCTGCAGCCGCAGCTGCGGCACTTCACGGTTCAGCACCACCAGGTTTCATTGCGATGACTCCGCCACAGGCGCTGACGAGCAGCGGCCGGGGCCGAACAGGTCGTGATGAGCGCGGAGGGAAGAACAATGGGTGTGAGAGGGGAGCAGGAGCCGCGGCCCGGCTCCTCTGGCGCTGCCTTTGCTCCACGGGCTCCGTGTTCTTACACCCGGCACAGAGCCCTCGGAGGCGGCCGCGCATGGGGTGCGCTCCGCTCCCTCTGCCAGGGCTCCCCTCAGCCCTTGTGCTTTGGCTGGAGCCTCAGGCCTGGGTGAGCCGGGCACTGCGGGGGCTGCAGCCAACCCAGGCCTGGGTGAGCCGGGCACTGCTGGGGCTGCAGCCAACCCAGGCAACGCGGACGGGCCCCGCCAGCCACAGACCGGCGTTTGCACGTCCAAAGCAGTCTGCACTCACTGCTTTGTCCCGGCGGACGCGGGACTGGGGGGAACCAGCGCGTTAAAGGAGGTGGAAACCCTGACTTTGCGGGACAGGCACCTCTGTGACAAGTGCGGAGGTGCCGGGCTGGGGCTGAACCGGAGCTGGGTGCTGCTGGCTGCAGGGGGAGGGAAGGGCGGTGAGGGAGGTGTCACGCTCCACATTCCTGCGGTGCGGCAGCGCGGCAGATGGTCCAAATAATACAGTTTTCACCCAACAGACGAGCTGAGCAATATTCATGCAAGCGCAGAACAAAGCAGGGCCCGGGGCCGAGGGCAGGCGGCTGCGGGAGCGGGGAGCGGGGAATGGGAAGCAGGGAGTGAGGAGCGGGGCGCAGGGAGCCGGGAGTGGGGAGCAGGGCTCACACCTCGCTGTGCTCCGCAGCACCGAGCCGCACATTCCTGCAGTGCCGGCTCTCCTGGCGAGCCCCGAGCTGTGCCACCAGCCTGGAGCTCCCCAAACCGCCGTGATTGATGGGGCGGCAGCAGCTGCGGAGTGAGCCCGGCCACAAAGGAGGCAGCTCCATACAAATATTGTAATTCCACTTGCAAGCTGTCTGGCACGGGCCATAATTACTTGGCGTCTTGCAAGGGCGCTGCAGCTCCGTGCGGGGCCGGGCTCAGCCGTGCGGGGCGAGGGGGCTGCGAGAGCCGGCGTCGCCGCTGCCGCTGCAGAAGGAGCTCCCCGGAGGCTCGGCTCCCTTGTGCAGCGATGCAGGGGCGCGTTCCCTCTCCTGTGGGTGTGCTTCGGAGGGGCACACGCGGGGTGCAATCAGACGCTGTCAGAACCCGGCAGCAGCGTGGCAAACACAGAACATTCGCTCCCGACTCACGGGGGTCGGTGCCTGACGTGTGCAGCTCGGCAGAAGGAAAGGGGGAGCCCAGTGGCAGCGTTCCCCGTCTCCTGGTGAGCCCCGCGGCGGGTGCTGCCCCGCAGCCCATTCCCGGCGGCTGCCCCATCCCCGGTCCCATCCCGTGGTGCCCTGGCCACAAACGGGCCCGGCCGCGGCCAAACACTTCCCGCAGCAGCAGGTCCCGGCACCGGGGAGGGAGCAGCAGGCGCTGGGATGGGCGCTGGGCACCGCGGGATTCAGGGAGCACAGGGAGATGGGGCTGAGGTGAGAGGGACAGGCAGAGACAGACCCGAGAGCCGCAGAGCCGCCATGCACGGAGCACTGAGCGCAGGAGGAGCAGGAGGAGCAGGGCTGTTGGTGGTGGAGCACACGGGCGGCAGCAGGGGAAGCACGGCTCTTACCTGCGGCAACTGCCGTAACCAGACCGGTACTTATTCTAATCTGAAGGGAGAGAACACAACAGGCGTCAGAGCAGCAGCAGCTGAAACCGGCCACGGCATCACGGCCACGGCACCCGGTGAGTGGCACCAGCGTAAGGACAAGTTGGAACCCGAAGTCCACCCCGGTATCCCCATGGACCAGAGAGAAACGGGTGCCTCCGGGCCCCGTCCTGCCCCAGCTGTTCTGGGGATTGAACACCCAGGGAGGGAAACGCTGGGCCAGGACGTGACCTCCAGCTCTGCCGCACTTGGCAATGTGCTGTGGGGGGGACGTCAGGCCCTTGCTTCAGTGACGCCTCCAAAGATCAAACTGGGTTAAGGTTTGAGGCTTCACAGATGCCCCCCCTCCCTCCGTCCCACAGCGGCAGGCTGGGCAGCACAGGGGGTGCACAGGGACAGTCCCTGCACACAAACCCTGCCCACCCATGGGGGAACTCGCACAGGCAGAGCCCCGCAACAGGCAGGCCTGTGCCCATCTGTGAACGCTGCGCTGGACGCTCATCAGAGGCCTCCATGGTCCCTTACAGGTAGAAATGCTTTATGCAGGTGAAGGATGAAGCTGCTAAAGTATGTTCCTTGCATCAGGGGATTAAGAATTCAGTTATTAATACAGATACAAATACACTTTAAATGCAGAGTCATCTTCTGGAGAGCTTTTATCATCTTACATCTACTGACCAGAACAAGGCTGGTTTCTACAGCACCAGGGCACGTGCTCTAGGGCAGAAGGGTCTTTGAGCCATTTCTCTTCACCTTGTGAAGCAGAGAAACCCTCGTGGAAGCAAAACAACTCCTCTAGACCGCCCTGCACCACACACACATACACCCTGCACCACCAGACACACACACATACACCCTGCACCACCAGACACACACACACACACATACACCCTGCACCACCACACACACACACACACACACACATACACCCTGCACCACACACACAGACACAGCAGTGTTGGTACTGATGATGGACAAAGAACTTGGAATTCTATGGAGAGCAGAGGCGGGAGCCCCCAGCCCGGGCATCTGCACAGGGAGCTGCCACCGCAGCACAGGGCCCGTCAGGTCACACCAGTATTTCCCCATCCCATGCTTAAGGCCGGTGGGAATCCTGCGCTGGCCATGGGCTCGGCCATGGGTCATGGCTGCAGAGCTGCTCGGAGCTGGTCACTGGACCGGGAAGCAGCAGGAGCACAGGCTGGGCCTGGGGCTGCACTCATCCCACCCCACTGCAGAGCCCGAGGGAGCAGCAGCCCCGGGCCTGGGGATGCACTCATCCCACCCCACTGCAGACCCCAAGGGAGCAGCAGCCCCAGCCCCAGTGCTGCGCTGTGTCCTGTGTCCTCACTGGGGGTGGGCAGAGGGGAGATCCCACAGCAGGGGTGCAGAGGAACAGCAGCTTCCTGACCGTCCTGCATGGGGTCACCACCTCAACCAGGCCTGGTCCTCCTGCAGTGCCCTCCTTCAGCCCCTCCAATCACTGGAGCTTGGGGGTAGAGCTGATGCCACCCAGTGACTCCTGGTATTCACCGTGACTGCCCTGGTTAATAACAGCAGTTCCAACCCCTACAGGGACAATCCGAGTCTGACTGACTCAGAAAGTATTTCTCTTTCATGTAAAAATGTAAACTATCCCACTGTCAACATGCACAACTGGACCCGAGGGGTCTCAGGGCACATCCCACGCAGTACTGAGGATGCAGGAGCTCCTTTTGTTCCCTCATACAGTGCTTGAACCCTTCAGACTGCTAAACGCACGACTGGCTGATGAATTAGGGGAGACTCCACTGCCTGGGAAAGGGCTTCACTTGCTGCCCGAGTACGAAAGAGGAAGAACCTTTGGCTTCCAGTGTTGTCCCTGCGGCTGTAACAGTGCTCCTGCAGCAGGAGGGTGCGCTTCCACCCGGGCACCGCTTCATCATCCAGCTAAACTGACTGCTGGCAGCAGCCATGTGTCAGCAGAGGGACTGATCCTCGTGCTGTCTCAGTTCTCTGCTCCACCTCCCCCGGCTTCCCCTCTTTGTTTAGGGCCTGGACTCCCTCTGCAGTCATCTGGCACCTGCACTGCACATGCTCCTTCTCACTCGGACCGGGAATGAGCTCGTGCTAAGGACTGGACTCCCTGTGCTCCCTCCACGCTCCAGGGCAGCGCCGGTACTGGAAAAGGCCAGATTCAGCTTGGAGGTCCAAGCCCGTGTCCAAGCTCCGTGTGTAGCTCCACAGCAGCATCCCCGCTGTGGTGACTGTGGCCTCTCCTGCCAGCAGCACCTGGGATTCCCCATGTCCCAGCCACCAGCAGCTCATCTTTCCATTCCAGGCCGCAGAGTCACATTGATCCAACCCACCCCCGGGTGTGCTGTGCGTGCTCCAGCACCACGGCACCGCGGCTCCTTTCAGACCTGTGGCTTTCAATGTTCAGCCCCTTCTGGCTTCCTTTAAAATATACTGAAACACTACACAGAACCTGGAGAGACTTCTCCTGTCTCACCCTGACCTGGGCAAACACCTCCAGCTTTGCAAGGAAATCCACAGAGAATTAAACCCCACAAAACCCAAGCTAACCCAAGGAGAAGCACTGCTGTATCAGCATGAGAAAGAACACCACTCTGTTTAAGACAACAGGGTTGGTTTTGCTTCTGTCAAAGAGCAGATTTTAAAATTACATGGCCATTTGAAATACTCCTTTTCTCTTTGAAGTGGGAACGATGCAGCTGGGCATCAGTGTCCTAAAATAAAGCCCATGTCGCTTGTGGGACCCTCAAGGGTTTTCTACAAGGAATGTAAGTGTGTAGAAGCCCCGAGACAAAGGCAGAGCATGTGTCACCTTTCCAAGAGAAAGGCTGCAGAGTCCTGGGCTTATGTAAATCACAGGCAGGCGTCAAACCAAGAACGCTGGAAACCTCCACAGTTCCTCAACTCAAGTGCTGCTCCTGGGCAATGCTCTAACGTTCATTAAAGAATCCATTTATCAACAGATAGCACATGGCAGACTTTTCCAGCACAGTTTTCCTGACGCTCCACTGCAAACAGTGCTTTAAACCACGGAAATGGAAAGCAAGACCCTGGGATGCTTCTGCTGTGCTTCATTCCACAATAGCTGCTAGCCAAGATGCACACTCTATCCCTCCTGATAACGTCGAGCATTATGCTTTATTTTCCAAATCATTAGCATGCACAAGGATGACCTCATGGTGAACAGATGCACTTGGATATGGCAGTGATTAGATCAGTCCTCTCAGCAGTCAAGTGTGCCCGCTCCAGTTAACCCTTTGAGCACCATCTGCATGTCCACGCTGCTGACAAGCAGAGCTGGGGGCTGTCTCCAGAGCAGAAATCTGCCCCTCTGAGCCTAAAGCCCTCTTTCTCTTCCTGGCACACCTGAGCACTTCCATTTCCTAAGGGCTAACACCGTTCTGGCTGCTGATCTCAAGTGAAAAAACCCCAACCAACAAACCAGCAAGCGCTCTTTAGTCCCAGAGGTAATTAAAGTTGGAATGCTTTTGTATCTGTTTGTGCCTGTTTCAGTTTGATGGCGTTTCTTCAGGAACACACAAGCATTTGGGGGAATAACTGCTTTTCTTTTTGGCCGAGGGAGCAAGAGCAGGAAAAGATAGCAGCTTAAACCCCATCCCTGAATCCCAGAGAAATCTGCAGAGGGAAAGGATAAGAGCAATTCACTAGTGTTGGATTACTGAGGATTTCCTGGGCTGACTCTCAGACCCAGCCTAATTAAAATACAGCATGTAATGTACTAGTTTAACAACAAAGGCCCGAATTCTCATCTTTTGTTCCTAATCTGCACTTCCCCTCAATGAGCTCAGGGATGCCCATTCTGCCTACCAGGAGGCACTTCCAGCCTTTGAGATACATGGAGCTCCCTGTGCTACACGAGGGGAGTTTCAGGCTCTGCTTCTGAAAACAGCAAGAGAGGGTCTCAACTGCATGATTTTCGTGCACCTGCGAGGCCATGTGTGGAAGGGGACAGCCAGGGCATCCTTGTAAGAGAGCCCCATCCCAGCTGAGTCCAGGGGCAGCATCCCTGGGGCACCATCAGAAAATATAAAAGCATCGAGTTCAAATAAATAGATGACAGTTAATAACACCCCAATAACGTGTGTCATTAACAGCCAGATACGTGATTCATTTCACAGATCTGATCTGCTTCTTGTACCGTGTTGACTGCTAAAAACAAACTTCACTTTAATCAAAAGCTCACTTACTCACTGCCCCTTTCTCTTGCGCACGTGTATATGCAGCGATGACATGATTCCAAGTAACTGCTATTAAGATTGGAGGAAAATTCACCTGAATTTTACCTGAAAAGTTTGAGCTGGGCAGCTCCTTGTTACTGAAGAAGGGGAAACACAGCCCTGGATGAGCTCCACTCATTCACTGCTTTGGGGTTCATTTTTTCCATTTCAGAACAGAAATTCCCCTCTCCCATGGACAGAAACACCATCCCTGCCCCTCAAGCAACAGACAGCCCATTCTGCAGGTGCAGGGCAGGTGAGTCTAAGCCGGGAGGAGGTCTAAGTGCCCATGGCACAGAGGGACGGGCTGTGTGCAGCGGAACACAGAGCAGTGCTGCTCATGGCTGAGACCGTCCTGCTTGTCCCCACTGCGCCCACACCGACAGCAGCTCCAGGAGAGTTTTACATCCCTTCCTATTCCTAATCACCAGGAGGGATAAAGAGATGCTGCAAACCTGGTCCAGCTGCACTCGTGCTGCTGTGTTCTTTAGTTCTGGATGCTGCTGGCAGCATCCCCCCATTCTGTGCCACAGCAAAGGTGGGAAAATGCTGATGGATGCTCGGGATCTGTGCACAGCCCCCCACAAGGCTGTGGGAGGGGAACTTGCCGTGCAGTGGCTGCTGCCTGGGCCTGAGCCTTGCAGTTTGCATTCAGCCTCTTCGCTCCTTGGGCAACTGATGGAAAAACATCCTAATGGGAACCCCCGACCCGGCTCTTGGGAACATCCCCCTACAGATGCAAGTAAATCACTGGGTAAAGTGAGGAAAGTCTCTGAAGTAAAGGGTTTGATGCCAGAGATCAGGCCCAGCCTCCAGTTTTTTGTGACATAAATTCTGGTGTTTGGAAGTCCAAAACCCAGGACCTGACTGTGGCAGGGTTTACTCTTAAAAACAAATAAAATCCTGAAATCACAAACCCCATTCAGGTACTACTGGCTTAACAGTGCTCTGGCAAACTAAAGCACGTATTAGGAAACATCTTACATAGTTTTGGCATGGCAAATGTGTCAGAGACTTCAGAAAGTACAACTCGGGCATTACCAAACGACTGTGTCCTTGTTTGTCAACCTGAATTCGTAGATAATAGGATCCCTGTGTGCCGCAAGAAGAATGTGAAAGCGAAATACAATTATGCACAGAGCAAGGCAGTTAAAATACACCCATCGAGCTGCACTTTGATTTGCTGATGCGTCAACAGATAGTGATTCACAGCGCGAACAACACTGGCACGCAGGCTCCACGTCTATTGAAACCCATCATTTTTTTTGTCTCAGACTTCTGGCAGAGTGTATAAAAGAATTTAATTCACAGCTGTTCTACTTTTTAATGTAGAAAACATTAATCAAAGCTTTAAGTTATAAGCTTTTCTAATGTTGTTTAGTATTCCAGTTCAGCAGAGATCAATAGAGGCCATCGCTGTGTTTCTTGACGCCTCTCCAGGAAGCAGAGGCGCGATTATGTTAATGGCCCAGCTCCCCTCTCCTCCTGCCAGCTTGCTTATCTCCACTGCCTGCTGCCTGCTGCTGCTGGCCACCAGCGCCGGCCCTGCAGCCTTCTCTTATCTCCCAACAAAGCTCCGGGAGCTCCAGGACCGGAGCCAGTAACGTTAAACAATGGTGCACGCCTGATTTTATTTGTAAGTGATTTATTTGGGTAAATTTAATTTCTTCCTTCAATTTTTCAGTTTAGATGGAAGATATTTGCTAACAAGTCAGGCTAAAGAGAAATAGAGCAGATGTCCTGCAACATTTAGACAGGTTTGAAATAATCTATTAAACAATCCGAAAGAGGAGCAGGGAGTAATGAGAAAGTGCCAGTTTCCCCTCTGAGTGTAAAAAAGGGATTAAGGAATCTTTGTTAGGGACTCCAGCACACGGGGACCGTGCACTTTTTGGAGGCTGGAAAAACGCATCTTGGGGGCACTGGAAATCTGCATTTCAGAGTCAAAGCTGCCTTTCAGGAGGCGTTTATTTAAACCCAATTAACACAGCAAAGCAGCAGTTTGTGTCTTACTGGCTGCTCACTAGCGTCCGAGCTCACAGAGCTCAGCATTACATCTCCATCTTTCAGCAAGGCTGATGAGTGCTGATCTGCATTCATGTGTGTGTATGTACATACATATATATACACACACGTATACACATATGTGCATCCTTCCATACATTAACCCAGCCCAAGCAGGCTCCAGGCCAGGTGTGGGAAGGCAGCCTGACCATGTGTATTGAAGGGATCTGTTAGCATACTGCTGGCTGCTGTGGTTTCTGCGCAGAGCACCGCTCTTACATTTCTGGTGCATTAATCCCTGACCCTGGTATCTCGGCAGCATAATCCCCATTTAGCATTAGTAGCAACGGCTTCTACTGCGAGGAACTCTTCTCGATAAGTAAGCACCGATTCAGGCATAGCTTTTGAACAACATATTCCCAGCTCAGCAAGAAACGCACCCTCCTGAATGGACCAGAGCACATTACTGAGAGAAAGTTCATTAACCTTGCTAGATTCGGGGGTTAACAGGATAGCTGAAGAAAGGAGCAGAGTGAATAGCTCTGATGCAAAACAAATTAAAATGAATGTCATCATTCCTTTTGATATTCATTAGTTGATTCAGGGGAAGAATGGTCGTCTTAAATTTGCAAGCATTTATCTACCAAAAACAGGTGTACATCTGCTGCTCAAGTGCTTCTTAGTGCTAAAGAGAAGAATAACGTGCGGAGACTCACCAGTTCCACCGAGGGAGTAGCTGGGAGAGGGAGAAAAGACCTGAGCGGCAAAATCCTCAAATGTCATTACTTCTTTATGGTTCTGGATTATTGCTTCGAGATACAGAGCTCGTTCCTCGTAACTGCAACGGCCACGTTAAGGAAATGTGTGTGCAGGGTTAAATGCTGTTACACAGAGGCCACCAGCACTTCAGATCGACACCACACTAACCAGGCTGTACACAGCCATGGCAAAGAGAGGACCAAATCTGCCCGCTGCTGCTTAACAGTTCTCAACACACTCAAGGGCTTGAAACTAAGGGTAGAACCTTTTAGGTCCATGAATGCAAAGTGGTGGCTGGGTAGACCTGAGGGACTGCTGCAGCTACTGCGGGCGGAAGCAAGCCCCAGGACTGCAGCCTTGTTGGCACCAAACCCCACCTTTACCGACACGCTGCAGCACTATGGAGTTTCCAGTACACAACATTCCCACCGCAGCCACCCTGCCAGGCTACAGAAAAACACTCGATTGGAGAAACAAGCTGCAGGACAGAGGGGAACAACCCCCTCCCACCCCACCCCCCTTATTCCCAACCCCATTTATTTGATCACTGTAGTCCTTAAAAGAAACTAGCTGTAATACACCCATCCCCTGAAAGCGTGCGGTTTGTCTGCAGGCAGGTGCTGGAAGGTGCAACCTTCTGTATCCTAAATAAGCCATGCACATTGGAGGAACTCACCCCGGCACTCGCATGCATTATAGTCTGCATAATGCGGACAACAAAGCGATCTAACATCAAGACTATTGCCTTTTAATTAAAACTCGGCAACCTGGAACACACAGCATTCAAATGTGTAATCAAAAACCAGTCACCAATAAAACTTACAAGCGTAACAAGCTGAAGCAACTTTCCAGCTGTCTTAATAGGACCCCTGCTTGCGGCAGCTTTTCACAGCGGAGAAAGCAAATCTCTCCCTTTGTGTGCAGCTTCTGTTTGCTCAGAAGGTGAATCAGACGCTTCCAATAACAGGATAACGCCTGAAACAAGCCTACAAGGGGCTGCAGCACCTCGCAGATGACTTTCTGCATTACCGCTCGCAGGAGCCGCTCTGACATCTCATTCTCCGCTCCCTCGTGGAAAACAAAAGTTTCAGACCCTCATTATGGTGTCTGTGTGACTGGAAGCGCGTTCTAACGCGGCCAGCGGGAGCAAAGGCCAAGTGAAATGTGGACATGAGGAGTAGCGAGAGTAACACAGTGACAGCCCGGTGCAGGTGAGGGCTTGCAAGTGAAAAGCATTACCAATTCATGGTGCAGCGCCATTTGTGACTTTAACACCCAGCCCCCTCGGAACCTGTGGTACAAAAGGCCCCGAGTGCAGCAGCGCTCTGGTCCTGCGGGGCAGGGCCCTCGGGCCGGGGCTCTGCCCAGGGGCCCAAGCTCGGCGGCACGCACGTTCCCGCAGGCCGGGCGGTGACAGAGGGCGAGGAACGGGGGACGCGGGGCCCTGCTCTGACGCGAGCACAGGAGGCTCCGGCCCCAGGAACCTTCCCGGCCGCTGCCCGCCGGAGCCCGCCGATGGATGCGCACCGCGGGACGCGCCCGTTTTCCCGTGCGCCTCCCGGAGCGGCAGAGCCGGGGCAGGCACCGGGGGGGGTGAGAGCGGGGCCGCGCTCCGGGGGCTCCGGTAGCGCCGGGAGCTGAGAGCGCTCGGTGAGAGCGGCGGCCGCCGCCACCTGAGCCCGCGGCGCTGCCCAAGGAGGCCCCGCACGGGCGCTGCGCGGGGGGGGGGCGGCGGCCACAGCGCAGCTCCGGTCCCGGGAGCAGGGAGTGGGGAGAGGGCGGCTCCGCAGCCGGTGAGAGCCGTGCCACGAGCGGGAGGATGCTCCCGGCCACACAAAGGAGCAGGAGAAACCCAGCCACAGCGCTGGGCAGCGGCGGCAGAACAGCGGAGAGCTGAGCTGAAGGCAAGCTCCAGAGCTGCAGCGGTGGCAGAACAGCAGAGAGCTGAGCTGAAGGCAAGCTCCAGAGAGCTGCAGCGGTGGCAGAGCAGCAGAGAGCTGAGCTGAAGGCAAGCTCCAGAGAGCTGCAGCGGCGGCAGAACAGCGGAGCTGAGCTGAAGGCAAGCTCCAGAGAGATGCAGCGGCGGCAGAACAGCGGAGCTGAGCTGAAGGCAAGCTCCAGAGCTGCAGCGGCTTCGGAAGAAGAGCCCATTCCTAGAGCCACAGAAACCCAGGCTGGGTTGGGTTGAAGGGACCTTAAAGCTCCTCCAGCTCCAACCCCTGCCACGGGCAGGGACCCCTTCCACTGGAGCAGCTTGCTCCAAGCCCCTGTGTCCAACCCGGCACTGGCAGATGAAGAGCTGACAGCAGTAGGTGCACACCACAGCTCGGTGAGGGAGCCCCCCCCTTGACCATCACCTTCCCCAGCTGGGCACACCCCTCGCGTCTGTCCCGGGCTCCCCAAAGCACAACTGCCAGGAGCACCACAGCCTGATCTAGAAAGCGTCAGGCCACTGCAGGGAATTAAACTAAACTCTGCTGTCTTTGTCTTAATACGTACATGAAAACAGTTTGGATTCATTAAAAAAAACCCAAAACTGAAGTTTTACCAAAGTTGAGGAATTCTAATGGAGGCATTAGGAACATGACAAACGGGCTGCGAAGTACGTTGTACACACAACCCCTCCCAGCCTGTATGTACAAGTAAAGAAAGCGTGGCATCACGAGTACCACCTCATCTCTCACACAAAACCTTCGTGACTTGTTTGAGTTGAGCTGCTTGTCTACAAACCAACCCACTGCTTTGCTGCTCACTTGTGTTCATGTCACTCTTCTGCCGCCACCACCTTCATCACCTGCCAGACACTTGACAGTCCCAAGTGACGTGCTTTGAGGATCTGAGAGAATAAACATAACAGACCCAGAGAATGAGATGGATGGGGGTGGAGAAGACCTGGCATTTCAACCCTGCTCTCACAGGAGGGGTCCCAGGTTGTGATTTTCACTTGCAGCCTGAAAAAGCTTCACGTTTATGCCCACGTCAGAGCACGTTCCTCCAGAGAGTCACTAGGGTAAGAGGTGACCTGTCAAACTGCAGCCCTTGTACATCTGCTGTGCCATTGTCCTGAGGAACCAGTGATGGGATTTTACTGACCTACGTCTGTTCAAATGTTAAACTGCATCTTCTTACTGTTCGGTGGGGAAACACACAGGATCAGCTAGGTTGGAAAAGACCTTTAAGATCAAGTCCACGTGCATCCTCCTTCCAGATGGGTGATCAGAAGAAGCCGGAAGGTAGAACTTTTTGACAAGGCACCAGGCAGTGTGTGGCTCTGACCTACAAGCATCACTTCCACATCTAACCTCTACAACAACACAGAGACAGTTCCAGACCCACAGTTTAAAATGCAGAGACTCTGCAAAGCCTTCAAGGTCCTCCTCATCTGGGTTCTGCAGGTGAACTGAGCCACCCTGGAGTCAAGATCTGTCCAACGCTTCCCTCTCTGTGCATAGACACAAAGCTGATCCATAAACAACTGCACTTGGAAATGGGGGAATAGAGAAGATGATCCTGAAAACTCAGAACTTTTGGTTGTTAACCTTAACTCTGTGCTGACCTTCAGCAAAAACATCAGCTACACATCACCCATCCTTCCCACAGTGCTTTTAGCAAATCAAACCATCCTGGCAGCATTTGTCCACGCTCACCCCTCTCTGGAAACCACTGCCTATCTTGTTGACACAGCGCTCTGCTCATGCAAACAGAGACAAAAGTATCTGTGGTCTGTGAACAGGCGAAGGAGGCTGCACCCCACAGCTCCTTGTCCATCGTGTGCCAATGCCAAGGGGCTCCTGCCCCGGACTGGGACCCAGCTGCTTGGGTCCAAGGAGAGCACACACTGAAACGACTGTTCCTCCAGCTCCAGGGGGACTGCCAAGGAAGCTAATGCGGGCTATTGGCACCAAGGTATTTTAATTCCCATCTGTGATGTGCATCCCACCCTGAGAAGGGCTTTCAGGGCGCCTGGCCAGTGGGGAAGCTGGAAGTATAGAGCTCGACAGCTCTTTCCAGCTCATCAGACATCAAGGCTGTCTCCATGTCCACATGCCAATTCCCTCTTCCACCCAACCAGGGAGACTGGAAGAAAGGAAATCCTTGAACTTCTTATTTCCCAGGTGCAAGCCAGAGCTCTCCAGCCTCCCCGGAGCTGTGGTGGACTCTGTTTTACTGAGCCCTGTCAAGACTGCAATACCAAAGAACCACTGCTCAGTCATTTCTGACCATTGCACTTCTTTCACTCTGCTCCTAGTACATACCATAAGAACTCAAGATGGTTCCACAAACAGGTTTGCTCCTGACACCATGATAGGGTTTTGAAGACAAACAAGGACATAAATGTTTGGGACTTACCAAAGTTGAGTAAAGCAGGGACCATAAAATTGACCTAACATAAATGGTAGATGACCTTGATGCACCTCATTGGCCTCCTTAAGCTCTGCACAAGACTGAGCTGCTGTGCTTTTCGAACGTGGCAGGCAATCTGAGTGTGAAACCCAATCTGCTTGATAGGGCTTTGCCATCATTTATGGTCTAGTGACTGTCATCGTGCATAAGTTTAACTGGAAACTTTTGGGGGAATTTCAGTAACATATATCCCTCACCAGGCAGGTGCAATCAAACCATTCCTGTCAACAACTGCACATTTATGGGCTTCTTTTAAACCAAAGCAGCTCAGATGAACACTTTCCAGGGTGATGCTTGTCTTACACTGGTCAATGCCGCATGTGAGACACGTTCTGCACGAGGCTGACTCTGCCACATCCAGCTCACCCCAACGGTTGGGTTGAGTGCCACAAAGACCATCTGTCTGGAGGCAGGGCTCCGTGCTTGGCCTCGGCCGGTGCCAGCTCCTCCTCTGTACCCACAGCAGATGATCCCCTGCTGCTCATCCCCTGCACTGCACAACTCCCTGCCCTGCTGCCCCTCCGTGCAGAGCCGCACAGCAGGCAGCCCGCTGACTGCTGCACTGGGAACACTGGGGGCACTCCCAGTGCCGGGGGGTGGCTGGGCCCCAGCACCCCGGTGTACATGAGATGGGACCCACTGAAGCCCACGGCCTAGGGAGGTTTCAAGTGGATT